ACTGCTCATGTGTGTTTCCTTCACTTTCTAGTAAAGAATTCCTACATCTCTTTCCTTCTAAGAACATGAGAAACTTTCTCACAGCATGCTAGGCCATTCTACATGCTTTCCCTTTCGGTCTGTCAACTCAGCCTACACTCCCATTTCCCCCCAACCTCCTGCGGTCACCTGGTCAGTGTAGAAACAGTGAGTAGTTCTGAACTCATGGTCTGGCACTATGCCAATGCTGCTCTGCTTCTCTATATGTCTAGAATAATGATAAGAGAGTCCATCACTGGCAATACCTGTAAAGCATCCACACAGCACTATAACAAAAGCCACAACACTACAACACACAACGTGATTTTTCTTTGCATCTGAACTGCTCATCTTAAATAGTAGGACAGCCACAAGACACAGCAGTGTACACTTGGCACACCTTGTTTCTGGAAGTCCTTACCCTATTATTGCTTGAACAATGTAGAAACCTAGTAGTCAGCTCAAAAACTACTGAATTCTAGAAAACAGACAGCAAACATCTTCATGGTTTACATTCACCCATATCACTATAAATAGAGAAAAATTTTAACTAAATGTTATAGTAATTTGAAAACTCCTGGTTTTGTTGATTTGTTTCAAAACAGAAAAATGTGATGATAAAGATAATTTCTTTTAAAACAAATTACAGGGGCTAGAGAGATGGCTCAGCAGTTACAGCACTTGGTGCTCTTTCAGAGGACCCAAATTTGGTTCAAAACACACATATCAGGTGACACACCACAGCCTTCCGGGTCCAGGGGATTGATGCCCTCTTCTGGTCTTCATGGATACCTGCATTCATGTGTAAACCCACATAATGACACTCATACACACTTAATTAAACATTTTACAGGAAAGAAGAGCCTAAAGGTCAGATTATCTGCCAATTATAACCCATAGTTTAAGCTGTACAATTTTGAGGAATCTAACTTTCCTTATGGTCTGTGGTAAGGGACAGTAATATAATTAAGATTCACATCTATTAGAAAACATTAAGTTTTACTTAAAGAAAACAACCAGTAGGGCATAAATGGGTATTCCTGTAATAACAGCACTAGACGAGGGATCAGGAACTCACTGTCAAATCTGACTACACAGAGAATTAAAGGGGAGATGGACACAGACAGAAAAGGCACAAACTATCAATCTGCTCAAGGACCTTCCTCTATAACAGCAATATTACCATTCCTAAAAACTGAAGTATTCTATATTTTCACTTTTTGTTTCGCTTGGTTTTTGGAAACAGGATTTCTCTACATAGCCCTGGCTATCCTGGAATTCAATCGTAGACCTGTGCCACCGACACCACATACCTGTTTGTTTTCTCTTGGGGAAGTAACCATTGGGATGGAAAAAGAAAAGTTCTTCCTAATGTAATAGGGGAAAAAACACTGTGCTTATTGTGACATTTAATATTTGTTTTGTTGACTAAAGATTATTTTGTTTTGACTAAGCTACAACCAATCCCAACTTTTTTTTTTACTTTCTTTCTTTTTTTTTCTTTTTCTCCTTGAACTCAGAGATCCACCTGCCTCAGCCTCCAAGTGCTGGGATTAAAGGCATGAGCCATCACCAACCAGTTCTCTCTAATTTTAACTTAGCTGCTCAGGCTGGTCTCTCTTGTTTTACATAGAGGATGGGTCTCAGAGGTTCAAGTGTGCATGCAGGGGTAGGGGTGTGTGGTGTGTGTGAGTGAGTGTGTGTGTGTGTGTGTGTGTGTGTGTGTGTGTGTGTGTGTGTATCAGAGGAATAATTTAAGCATTCTGGTAGCCTCGTCCCACCAGGGATGAAACTCAAATCGCAGGTCATGAGGCTTGGTATCAAAGCCATCCTGTCAGCATGTTCAGGCTCACTCTACAGATCAAGCTGGTTTTGATCTTGTAATTTTCTTGTTCCACCAGGTCCGGTTTTGGTTCATTCTATCTTACCCTGTTAAGATGCCAATCCTACACGACCAAAGCCTAACATAACAAAAATCCCCTTCTCCGTGGAGCGTCCCAGAAAAACGACTTGTCCCTTTTATCATCTCACTACATGTATTTACTTTGAGCAATGCTATCACACACTCCATTTGTTCCCAGCCAATCAGTGGAACTACAGTTTTGGTTTTGTTTGTTTGTTTGTTTTTTCCACACACTAACTGATGAACAAAGTGGATTGTTGCTACTTGGGAGACTTTTCACTGGCTGGTAAGCAAAATGAGTTGTTGCTACTGTGGAGAGTTTACGTCAGCTAGAACTCTAACAAAGGCAAATTTATTTAGGGTGAGGTTATGGAGTTCCAGGTTAAGGACCTCTCCCCTACGAGTGGCCTGACTCACAGGTTTTGGGAAGCAAATGCCTATTATGTCTTTAGAGTCCATTTTTCACTTCATGCCTTTGTGAGGGTATGCAGTACACACTAAAGTAGAAGGGTAAACCTAAAATCTCTGATGTGGTTCTTATACACTGACATGAAATCTGCACACATTAATCCACCTATTTACCCATGATCCCATCCACAAGAAAACTCCTTCAACCACAATTGCTCAAACCAAGTACTTCTGGTAATCTCCTTGCACTCAGTCACCTACAGTAAACGTTTTTCAGAGGTTTGTGGGGCTTTTGTTATTTGGTTTTGGTTCTGTTTTTCTGAGACCAAGGCTGCCAGCTCAAGGTAATCCCTCATCCTCTATCTCCCAAGTGCAGGCTCACAAGCCAACACCACACCCAGCACCTCAGAAGCGCTAAGTTGTACCTACGTCTCTCTCATACATTATATGTATAAAAATAAGCACAATCCTACTTCCTACTTTTGATTGCCAGGTATGCCAAGATTATTATTATCCCTGTTTTTAACTTTGTGTACAATAAGATTATCAAAATATAACACTTCAAGTATTGCTTGAAGGGCAAAAGTTTTCCAAATAATATCACAAAACAAGTTAATATCAATTCTTTGTCTAAGTTATCTATCATTGATGGATTAAAAATTACCCAAACCAAGTTGAAACATACTGAGACCACTCAATTTTTTAGCTAAAATCTTACAATTTGTCCTTTAAAAACAAAGATATGTGTGTAATGGCACATTCTATATATTCATAATTGTATCACTTTTTTCAAAGCAAGCTGAAAGAGAATGTCATCTCAAAAGATTGCATAGCTATCTCCAAAGTATATTTTTAACTCTCAATTAAAAAATGAATTCAGAAGCAAAAACCATTTTACCAAATATCTAAATCCTATGAATATGTCAAGAAACATTCCTTTGCTTCAAAAATGTAACAAAAGTCAGGCACAGTCAAGAGGCTGAGGCAGGACGATTCTGCCAAGTTCCATGGCCAGTCAGCCTTAGCTACATAATGAATACCATGGCCACCTAGGCAATACAGCAAAACTCAGAAAACAAATAAAAAATTAAATTCTAAATGAAAAAGACATTTTGCACAGGTCAGACATTCAGTAATGATCACAACTCAATGAAAGAAGTAATCCATGTCAAGTTTTAATTAAACAAGCATTTCTAAATAGCACCTGTGTTGATCTTCATGGCTCAAACCGTTCACATGAAATCTGACCGCAACAACTTAATCTCCATAATTAAAGACCTCTAGGTAGGTCTTAAGTTTCATCTATTCCATTTACTAGCACTTTGAGCGAGCACACTGCAGTCATTCTACATACTGGCTACCAAAAGAAAAAGAGTAACTAATTGGAAATGTGTTGTACTTTTAATACGGTGCATTCTAAACTGCACGGCCTTTTCTTTCCTTCCCCAACCTGTTTTATAAAACCAGCATTTTAATAATCTCACTACAAAACAAGCTCTAGCAAGCAGAGCAACTGATCCCAGGCTCTCAGCATGATCAAATTTAGATGAAACCGTAAGGGAGGAGAAAACGTAACGAGCAATTTACCTGTTCCAGGCTTGCTCTCTGGACTCCTTCAAGAGGCAAAAGGTGTTTTAAATGCGTATCTTAAAAGGCCTTTAGATGTACTAATTGGGGGGCTACTCTAATTTGAAGCTGTTTAGTTAAGTTACTTTAAAAAAAAAAAAAAACAAAAAAAACAGCCCCGCTATATCCAAGAGATTCTGATACTACTAAATGTTACTTAAATCTCCCAGCAGCAAAAAGGCAAAAACTTCATTAAGTTATTGAAAGCAGATATGCTCATATCATCAGATAAGTTTTTCCATCTGTTTAGAAAGGAACCCAAGTTACTTATTTCAGACGGCATTTAGTTAAAATGAAATTAGGTTATGTTTCACAACGCAGCTGCCGCTCATGAAGAAGTGTTAAATGACTTGAGTGAATGGAAAATCTGCATCTACTGTTGCCTCCCATCAGTCGGGTCTTGAGTGGGTTGCTCAATGAAGCAAAAGCATGCTCCCTCTGAAACTCCCTGGAACCTGCGCAAGCAGCAGACAAAACCTAAAAGTGCACCGAGGACCCCGCCTTTTCTCCAGTGTGGCAAGAAGGCCACCGCCAGAGCTAGGGTTAGGGAACGCCGCGACACTCTCTGCAAAGGCAGGCGGGTGCGGTCTGCAGCGCGCGGCACAGCCTCTCCCGGGGCTGTCACAGGAAAGCCCCAAGCCTTGCCTCAACCGCCCCGAGTGACAAAGCGCCGGGTCTTCACCCACCCCGCCCCCGCCCCCGCGCGGGGGGCTTCCGGCGACTCCTCGCCGGCGCCCTGTCAAACTTCGGGAGGGGCAGACACGCGGGACCCACGACGCCGAGCCGCCCCCGCCCCAATCCCGGGTCCCCGCTGGGCTTTGTGCTGCTGCAGACGCACCGACCGCGGGCCCCAAAACACGCCACCCGCGCCAAGCCGTGCCGGTCTCCCTTCCTTGAAGGGACAAAGGAGCAGGAGAGGAACTCTCGGCGCGGGGTGCCCGGGAGTGCCCGCAGCCCGGGCACGGAACGTGGGACTGAAGGACTACCCAGTCAACCCCCCAGGAACCACTCCGCTGCCCCCCAAATCCGGACAAGCGCCACTCACCGATGCGGAGCCCCCGAGGCGGCGGCTCGCAGGGAGCGGGCTTCCGCGGGGTGACAGTGACGCGGGAGTCCGGGGCCCTAGCGTCCGGTGGGACCCCCCAACTTCTCTCGCGCGTCGTCGCCAGCGGCAACTGCGAGCCAGTCCCGGCGGAGGGCGCAGTGGAGCCGCGGCGGGGGCTGGGCCCCGGGAAACTCCGAGCCCCTCCGGCCGCGGGCCAGGGCGGACCCCTCCCTCCTTCCCTCCCGCTGCCGCTCTCGGCGGCGGCCAAGTCGAACGCGCAGCCGCTCCCGGGCTGCCGCTACCGCTGGCTGCCGCTACCACCGCCGCCCAGCTGGGAGCGCGTCGCAGCCGAATGCTGTCATCCGCCCTGACGCCGCCTCTCCGGGCGCCGCGAGCAGCCACGAGCCTTCACAGGCCAGGGCCCGCCCCCTTCCGCAGCCACGCCCCGCCCCCGGTCCGAGACGCGGGCCACGCCCCTTCCCAGTCACGTGACGCCGCCGGGAGCGGCCTGGGGCGCTCTTCTGCAGGGCGGGGCGCCTCGGGGTCCCTCGCGGGGCCCTGAGCTCGGGCCCCGGACGGGAGGCCTTGTGGATGGCGGGACCCCGAGCCTGCAGCACCCGAGGAGGCCGCGGAGCGCGCACTGGGCCGGATCCGGCTCGCCCCAGATCCAGCCCTACCGGCCTAGGGGAGGCTTCGGGTAGAAATTCTGGGTTGAAAGGCGGTCGGGCAACTGCTGCTTCCTAGTTCTACCAGACGTTCGCTGTGGTGCCTCCTTTGCTGTCTGCCTCGCAATCAGTTTGCAACGTGGATTTCAGTCACGCTAGGATGAAAATAGCCTGGCGGTCTGGGTTTTTTTATTTTTTATTTTTTCGGTTCCTAGTCATGTTCAGGATCCTCGTGCCAGCTTTTACCCTCATTAAGTTGTACAGTGAGGTTGGTGACAGCTTAAACAAATACGTGGCAATTTGGCAGTATTCTCAATTTGAAAAGAAAGGCAAATTCTTTATTTTTAAGTACCTCAACTTGTAGTCTTAATCTTTGGCCTTTTTTTTTTTTTTTAATCATGACCCCAGGAACCCTTTCTCATCCGGTTGAGAGGAAAGGGTTAGAACTCAACACGGGAAGAAAGCGAATTACAATACAGAAGGGAAAAGCAAGCCAACAACACAGACCGAGGACACTGAGCCGCCACTAACGAAGCAGTTTTCTGTGATAAAAATTCCTTATTCGCTTTCCGGAGCTAAGATCTTATTTATTTACACAATTCTCATTACATTTTCTTGACAGGAAATCGGATGACATTCAGATCATCTGGATACTTCAAAATAAATAGGCCACAGAGTTTTGCTTGTTACTGATACATTTCACAGTCGCTCTAAAAGATTGCAGACTTGGCCATCATGTTGCCCAAAGATAAAGCAACTTCTGCCCAGTTAAATGAATTATGCCAGGCCACTGATGTTTAAGGCACGTCTGGAATATGATAGGTTAACATTTGAAAAACAACTAGCTTTTGCCCGAAGTGATGTTCCAATGGGGGAAGGATTCTGCCATGTTCTGTTCACAAACCTGAGAGATTGTATTTGTACTTCACATAAACATAGGGAAATTTATTGTTAGGTGAAGATGTTAATGTAGTTTGTGAGCAGATTGAAACTTGAAACCTATTTCTGAAGCAATGTTTTTTTTTTAGGCTAACTGAAAAGCCAATTTTATTTTTTAATCTATTAGGTTTTAATGTATTTTAATTTAGAAGATAAGAATGCAAATTATCTAAGCCAAGCAAGAGTTCGTTTGTGGGAGGCTGGAGAGATGAGCTCAGCAGTTAAAAGCACTTGTTGTTCTTGCAGAACCTGGTTTCTCTTCCCAGCACCCACAGCCTGCAGTTCCAGAGACTCCCATTTCTTCTGGACCACCTCAGGCACCGGATATGTACATGCAAGCAAAACACTCATGCCCATAAAATAAATATTTTTTTAAAAAAATGACTGTGTGACTAGCTGGGCACAGTAGCCCACGTCTGTAGAGTTCCAGGACTACACAGACTCAAAGAAAGACCCTGTATTTAAAAATAAAATCAGGGTTAAAGTGTGTCCCCCGTTGTTAATTTAAATTATACTCACTGTGAGCTGCTTAACCAATGTTCCTCAAATATTAGATATCCAGAAAAATATACCATCTCAGCTGCTTGCTTTGTGCTTTGCTTTTACTCTGAGAATCGAAACTGAAGATTACAACAAAGGAGGCAAATTGCTTTGCATAATCCTCTCCTGCCTCAGCCCCAATTTTCTTCAATTGGCCTTTGAAAATCTAGCCATTTGTGCAGTGGGGAACAGGGTATGAGAAATTAGGAGACCTACATTAGAGACGTAGCTAATTAGATATGTGTCTAGATAAATTACTCTGCATTTCCAGTTCTGATAAAAGTGTTGGAGTGCCTACTTATTAAGGAGTGATAATTTTTCCCCCAGTAGATGAGGCTTACATGAGAAACAAGCCATCAGTATACTAAGGAGTATACAAATTTCTGTCAAACTAGCTAAAGCTTTTTATCTTCATTTAAAAAAAAAGTTTGGGAGGTAGACGAGGGGGTCTTGAGAGTTTAGTTACCGAGTAACTAGGCTGATGGTCTGATCACTGGGACCTACAAGGGAAGAATCAACTTCCATGAGGTGTCTCACATGCCCACACCCATCAACACATACATACACATGCATGTGCACATACACACAATAAAAAAAAATGTTATTTTTAAAAATCTTTTAATGCTAGAGATGTGACTTAATGATTAAAAGTGCCAGCTGCTCTTTCAGAGGACCAGAGCCCAGGTCCTAGCACATTCTGGATAGCTCACAGCTGCCTGCAACTCCAGCTCCAGGAAACTGGATGCCCACTTCCGGACTCCATGAGTACCTGTACTCACATGCCCGTAGCCACTCACATACACAACTGAAAATGAAATAGTTTTTAAATTGAATGCAGGTCATTGAAAGTAAAGAAGCTATTGAAAAAAACAAGTGTAAGTACATCTTTCAAACACTTCTATATATCAATGTTAACAATTGTCATGAAAAACTAGTGGTTTTGACCTATATCACAGCTGAATAGAACAAAAGACCAATGCATAGCCAAACAAGGCACAGGCTTGTAATCTTAGCTCTTCAGAAGGCTGAGGCAGAAGAATTGAAAGCTCAAAACCAGCTCTGTCTAGAGTGTCATAATTTTTGTCAGCTTGACACAAATGTAGGCATACCTGTGAAAAGAGAATCTCAATTAAGGAATGGCTTCCATCAAATTAGCCAGTGAACATTTCTATGGTACATTCTCTAAATTGCTAATTGACATAGGAGGACCCAGACCATTATGGGAGGTGCTCTACTTAAGCAGATGGGCCTGGGTGCTTCAAAAAAAGTGGTTGAATGTGAGCCTGAAGAGAAGCTCAAAAGCAATGTTCCCCCTCCCTTCAGTTCCTGCCTTTTTCCTGCCTTAGATTCCCTTACTGATGGACTGTGAGCAGTAAGCCAAATGAATACATTCATTCATTCATCCCCAAGTTGTTTGGTTTTTGTTTGTTTTGTTTGTTTTGGTCACAGTTCTATCATAGCAACAGAGAGCAAATTAGAACAGAAATTGATATCAGGAACATAAGGTATTACTGTAATTAATTTGACCATGTTGTTTTTAGGAAGATTGTAGAAGGATTTTGGAACTTTGGGCTAAAAGTTGGTGGTGAGTGCTCAGAGCTTAATAAACTGTTATGGGAGCCCAGAGGATAAGAATGTTGAGACAGGCACAGACAATGGAAGCCTGGCTTGTGAAGTTTCAGAAGCAAAGACTATCAGGGCCATTCATGTCTTCTTTGTTGTTTGATTGTTTATTGTTTTGTTGTTTGATTTTTTTTTTCAAGACAGGGTTTCTCTGTGTAACCCTGACTGTCCTGGAACTTACTCTGTAGACCAGGCTGGCCTCAAACTCAGAGATTCACCTTCCTCTGTCTCCCAAGCGCTGAAATTTAAAGGTGTGTGCTACCACCACCCAGCTCGTGTCACATTTTGAATTAAGAATCTGTGAAAGTAAAACCTTTACCAGGATAACTAAGGCTGAAAAAAAAATCAGCTGTGGCAAATATAGGAACCTCAGAGCCTGCTCAAGACATCTTAAGGTCATGTTCTCAGCACAAAGGAAAATCATTGTCTCAGAGGGACAGAGGGCAGGGATAAGGAATAAAGACAAGATATAGAATAAGAAGGAGAAGGGGAAGGAAACAAAGGAGATGGGAGAAAAGGGGCAAAGGAAAAGGGTAAGAGGTATTTGTCGCGGAGGGACAAAGAGCTGTCTCTGGATAGATGGGAGACAGATGAGGCCCATAGGCAAATGGCTTTTTATAAAGGTAAAGGGGAAACATAGAATTAGGATGGCTGTTTAATTTTAACTGAGCATGTTAATTAGGTGAGCCAAATGGGGCTTTTGATTGCTGGACTTCAATACTTCGATAGCTAGACCTTCATAGTCAACCTTAGAAGGAGGAATTGGACAAATAAGGGAATAGACGTTGGTGGTTAGCTTTAGAAATGTAATCTAACTTTTTTTTTTTTTCTTTTTAAGCAAGGCAGAAGGAATTGGGGAGAAGAGCAAAGCCTGCCAGAGCCATGTTTGTCATTACGGGACTGGCTGGAGTCCCTTCGACTAACTATCATCCAGGTTACATCTTCAGAGAAGTATTTCCCTCAGGGTCAGCACACAGAAATTGTGGTCCTATATGGGACCACAGATGCAACTCAAGATGGCAGCTAAATTTGGCAATGTGTGTCTTCCAGATAGGACTGGCTTCATCAGCCTGAAAGTTACAAGACTGAAGGGGTCATGAAGTGCTTCTGAGAGCTGGCTTTGTAAGCGGATAAGAGAGGCCATTGGTGGATCTGAAGCCTCCGTTATAATGGAAACCCTAGATTTAAAGGCGTCATGAGGAGAAGCAGAAGTTTGGTACCATGTGATACACAGATATAACACACATACACAAAAAACAAAAATAAGCCTTTAAAAAATACAACATTTTAACCATGCAACATCTTTTTCACATTTGGTTTTATTAATACATTTTTTAGATTTATTTTATTTTACACGTATGAGTATTTTGCCTGCATGTGTGAATGTGCACCACGTGCACGCCTGATGCCCTGGATGGTCAGAAGAGAGAGCATCAGATGGTTGTGAGATGCCATGTGGGTGCTGCCAGGCTAACATGTACTCCTAACCACTGAGCCCTCTCTCCAGACCCCTACATTTCTTTCTTGAAGTTGTTTTCTAAGTCTCTTCCTACAGAGGCAAAAAGAAACACACTGTTTAAAGTTGGAACTT